TGTCTCTAATGGCAATTCACATTTCAGAACTTCCTGCTGGTTTGTCATTGAAGTGTCCGAGTCTTTCAACTTTGATATTATCGGATAATCATATATCGGAGATTCCAAAATCCTTTTTTGAAGATATGGGCACACTCAAGGTTCTTGATCTTTCTCGAACTGATATTGAGACTTTACCTGATTCCATCTGTGACTTGGAGAATCTCTCTGTGTTGCGGTTGAGGGGGTGCCAGAGGTTAAAGTGCCTGCCTTTCTTAGGGAAGCTTAGAGCACTGAAGAAGTTGGATCTGCGAGGTGCAGGAATAGAGGTGGTCCCTCAAGGCATGGAGATATTGGAAAGTCTTGAATATCTTAATTTATTTTGTAGAGATTTGAAAGACATTCCAACAGGAATATTGGCTAAACTTTCTAGTCTACAGTACTTGGCAGTATGTTATTTGGGAGAAACTAGTATAAAGATAGATTTAGAAGAGGTTGCGAGATTGAAAAAGTTGGAGATTTTAGAATGTCGACTTGATGGTCTACATGAGTTGAATTCTTTTGTGAGTGAGTTCAAAAATTTCCAAAGTCTTACAGCTTATGGGCTTGTTGTGGGTTATGGGCTTAGCAATTATATGCAACACGATACAGATGAAAAATTTTCATATGAATGGAGTGCTCTTAGAAGTTTTCTTCAAATTAAACGTCGGCTTGAAATTAATCAGCTGAAGATAGATGGAGAATGTATGGTGGTGCTTCCAGATAACCTTGAGGATTTGTGGATTGAATACATGCAAAACATGACAAGCAGGAGCTTAAACAAAATAGTTTTGTTAGAAAATGCAACCGAGTTAAGAAGATGTGGTATGACACATTGTGAAGGGATAGAGTGCGTGGTTGAGTTGGACTCATCCTCTGCCTCCTCATTATGTTGTCCAGTACTCGATAAGCTTGAATGGCTGTATATTGATCATTTTCCCAAGTTGTGTGTGCTTGTGAAAGTGGAAGGAGTAGCAACACCACCGTGCATCTTCTCCAATCTTAAAGTGCTTTATATAGATGATTGCAGAAAAATGAGGGAGTTGCTTCCACTTGAGCTACTGCAGGCCCTTCAAAACTTAGAGGAGATTAAAGTTTGGAATTGCACAGAAATGGAGGAGATAATAGCATCATCTGATAATTTCACTTTCACTTTTCCGAAGTTAAGGATGTTGGAGTTGGTTAACTTACCCAAATTGAAGAGCATCTGCAGTGCCAAAGGAGTGATGATTTATGATTCTATTGAAGAAATTAAAATAAGCACATGTCCGGAGTTAAAGAAGAACCCTTTTCAGCTTCCCCTGCTTGATAATGGCCAACTATCTCCTCCTCCTCGTCTCACAGCAATCAAGATTCATAGAATATACTCAGAAGGATGGTGGGAATCAGTGGAGTGGGATCATCCCAACGCAAAGAACCTTCTTCAACCTTACTTGAAATATTATCGTTGATTGAGGGTAAGGTGTTAATTGATTTACTACCATTTATTTCTAATTTGAATTTGATTTGATAATATATTACAGTAAGTTGTTGAAAATTTGGGAAATAATTTGTGTAGGGTGAAGTGAAGAGCTGCAAACAGCAAATGGACTTGTTGACAAATTGTAACTTTCCAGAGATTAAAGTCACGTGCCACCTGAATAACACGTGCCCAATAAAAGCTCTTCCTCGATTCCTTCATTACTCCCACAACGAAATCAGTTGGGTATTCTAGAAGAGAAAGAGATGGATGTTTCTGAGATGGAAACCCTAAGTGGGTATATTCTGGAAGACAAAGATATCCAGCCTTCGCTTCATTACAAACTCCAACCAGTAAGTATAGGTTTCACTATCTCTATTTTGACGTAACCTCTTTCATTCAATAATAGAAATTTTTATTTTTAGTAATTTGATTTGTGTTGTAAAGCTGATAAGCATATTATGTTATGTGATTTCTACTCTGTTTGTTTTGTGCTTGTTTGATTAATATAATGTAATACATTTTGGTGTCATGAATTGTTGCATCTTGCAAAGAGGGGAATTCACAGGTCAGATTTCCCCCAGAGAAATGGCATATGGCAAAGGAGTTACGATTTATGATTCTATTGAAGAAATTGTTATATGGGATTGTCCAGAGTTAAAGAGAAATCCTTTTCAGCTTCCCCTGCTTGATAATGGCCAACTATCTCCTCCTCCTCGTCTCACAGCAATCAAGATTCATAGAGACTCAGAAGGATGGTGGGAATCAGTGGAGTGGGATCTACTTAACGCTAAGAACCTTCTTCAACCTTACTTGAAATATTACAGTTGATTGAGGGTAAGGTGTTGATTGATTTACTACTATTTAATTCTAATTTGAATTTGATTTGATAATATATTACAATAAGTTGCTGAAAATTTGAGAAATAATTTGTTGGTGCTTAATTTGAGAAATAATTTGTGTAGTGTGAAGTGAAGAGCTACAAACAGTAAACGGACTTGCTGGCAAATCGTAACTTTCCAGAGATTAAAGTCACGTGCCACCTGAATAACACGTGCCCAATAAAACCTCTTCCTCAATTCCTTCCTCTCACAACGAAATCAATTGGGTATTCTAGAAGAGAAAGAGATGGATGTGTCTGAGATGGAAACCCTTTGTGGGTATATTCTGGAAGACAAAGATATCCAGCCTTCGCTTCATTACAAACTCCAATTCATTAAAAACTCCAACCAGTAAGTATAGGTTTCACTATCTCTATTTTGACGTAACCTCTTTTCATTCAATAATAGAAATTTTTATTTTTAGTAATTTGGATTTGTGTTGTAAGCTGATAAGCATATTATGTTCTGTGATTTCTACTCTGTTTGTTTGGTGCTTGTTTGATTGATATAATGTAATACATTTTGAGGGCATGAATTGTTGCAACTTGCAAAGAGATGAATTCACAGGTTAGATTTCCCCCAAAGAAATATGGTCTCATTGTGAACAATTTTCTTCTGTTTGGTTATGACTTATACTTCATATAGTGGATTGGCCCCATTCTAAACTTCTCCCCCAAATCCAAATTCTTGGTCCACTACTGATGGGATGTTTGTGTTTTTATATACCAGCAGTTTTGTTGATGATTTCTTTTGCTGTTATAAATGAAAATTTTGGTTCTTTTCTCCGAATCTTCATATTTTTACTGAACATTTTTTTATTTCTTTTTAGAGCAAATGGTATTGGTACCCTTAACTTCTAAAGATAATTAACTTTTTATATTAAATTGTCTCAATTGTACAGATAATTTCCTGTTGGATTTGTAAGGTATTTAGTCTACGAGGGTGAAGTGGAAGTGCTGAGGAAAAATGAAAGTGGAACTACAAAGAAGGTTGACAATAAAACGGTGACCAACAATATCAACAGGTTAATGCTGTTTTTGCTTCATTATTTTCTTGAATGTGTTTTTATTTTTTATTTTGGTGACAGTACATATCTTGGTTAATGATAATTCTTGTTTAGCTTCTAGCAAGGGTGCATCCAAAGAATTGGTATTTTAAATCATAAATACGAACTTGTTTATGTGAAAAGTAGGCAGCTGTCAATAAAGAGGATTTTCATGTAGAGAATTGGTATTTTTCGTTATAAGGTTAATTCCCACTAATTCAAATATGGAAATCTTCTAGAAGTGATTACAACTATGGAGTGCTTTTGACTATTTGTTTTGCCTTTGGCTGATTAATTCAGTAATTGGAGGTTTGTATGCATGGCTCTAACTGTTTGGTCTTTCAATGCAGGCTTCCCGCACCCAAGAAGTTTCTTGCGTTAGGAAGCGCTGTTCCTTATCTGGGAAGGAAAGCAGGAAAGGGGAAAGCAGGGAAAGCTAAGGATTCCAAGCAAGGCAATATCTCATTGTTCTTCTAGAGCATTAATTTGAGAAGATTGGCAGAATGAAGTTTCGGTTTCTTCTTCCTAGCCATCATTCTTCATTGGATCTCGTTCTTTCTTTTGATTGGATACTTATATATCTAATTCTTGTTTATCTACAATGGGAGACTGGTAGTGGACTAGTGGTGGCCCTACCAACCACTGAGGTAAGTTATTTTCTATGTTATGTGTGTGCTATATAAACAAAATGACATAGTTCCCAGTAATCCGAGTTACCTAAATTGTAGTTAATTTGTCTAGGAATTTTAAAAGTTGCATTTGGTTTCATATGATTTGATGGCATTTGAAATGTCTTTTATGTGTCTTAATTTTGATCCGCTAAAGCTTTAGGACATCTTAAGTATCAAAAGATCGAATTGATGTTCATAGGAGATTCCATGCAGAAAGCCCAGTTTGAGTCAATGGTTTGTTTGGTGCAATCTGTGATTCTTGAGGAGAAGAAATCCTTCCGTAGAATTCCGCCCACAATGATCTTTAAAGCTGAGGTACCATGACTTTTCTGCTTATCCTGCTTTCCTATACATGAATTTTTTACTTTATCCTAATAAATTCACATTTAACATGTTAAATTGTTTGAATCTTATGTCTATTTCAAAAGACTTGAATCCTTAAATTAAAGGAAAAACTTATAAAAAATGAAAGTATGCATGTCACCATGTTAGACAGTTGATCATGGTTTTTTGAGCTTTGGAAATGTGTTTCAGGAGTACAATGCATCAATTGAGTGCCACTGGGCTCCCTTCATGGTGGATTCTGATTCATACCATGCAACATATCATACTATCCTGAAATGACTAGTGAACCTTGCTGCCAAAGCCAAACATGGTAGGAGCTAGGAAGGACTTGATGTATTGGTGTTTGAGAGCTATATCTGGTGGATGCACAAGCATAACAAGCCTAGGTCAATGCTATGTAAGTTTCCAGTTTTCCAGCTAAGGCTTTCTATTCTGTCCAAATTCTTCTAGTTTTTGTGAACCTTGCTGCCATAGCCAAACACAGCAGGAGCTAGAAGGAGTTGATATGTTGGTGTTTGGAGCAATATCTGGTGGATGCACAAGCATAAAAAGCTTCAGATCAATGTTATGTAAGTTTTCTGTTTTTGATCTAAGGCCTTTTATTCCATCCAAATTCTTCTGGTTTTTGTGCTTAAGTGCAAGTTTTTTATTTGAAGATACATTTTGGAGTCCAACAGGTTAATCTAAGTTTTAACTTTCTTCCTGAGGTTCATGTTTTTTATTTTTTTTCTTCTTTATCAGTTATGGAACTCCTGGGATTTTTCAAGAATAAAATGTGACAACTACTCGTCAATTGAGAAACCTGGGCAAATTGGATAGAATCTAACATCAGTCCTTCATGTCCCCAACACATGTCTGTGGTATGTTTCACTTGCTGTTTTCTATTACAAAACATCCCAAGCCCCCAAATTATGAAAATGATGATAATATAGGGAGCTATCAAGCTGTTATAAACCATTTTGATGAAGTAGAAGAAGTTAATCCTTTCTTTGTTAATCTTCTTTTCTTTTCAAATTTACAATATTTTTTTTTTAATGATATGATTCTTATTATTAATCAGTGATCATGAAAATGTAGAACCCTTCAAGGCTTTCACCTCTTCCTGCAGAACTAGTTGCTCTCTGCTATGGTGGTGATGCAAATCATGATATCCCTCGTGCTACAGTCACCAGACCCAGTTTTAAGGTTAGTTTACTTACCTAAAGTCCATCTCCATCCATGACCATGGAGAAATTGAATTGTGATTTTTTGTTTTGTAGATTGGCCACCATTTGCCCCAATCGTTCGTAATGATATTGCAAATGATGTACTGATTTATCTACAAAAGTTTATGTATGTGCCTTTTTATCATTCTAAGGTATGCCAGCTTTTTCACTTTTGTACTTTTTCTATATGGTTATTTTAGCCTTTCATTTTGGTAGATTATGTATATTGACAGAATGCATGCAATTGTATCCCAGATGTTATGGTTATCAATTTGTATTGATATATGTTATGAATGTTTTTTTTTTTTTTTCTTCCCCTATGCAGGATTGGTTTCGTGCTTTTTTTAGAATGACATATGGCTGCTACTCCAGCATTCATCAAAGGGGAAGGTTGGAAGCCAAGCGATAATGAGAACTGCTTTAACGAGACCCATCCAATCCAAGAAGCATCATACAAGAACTAAAGATCAACCATTCCAGTTTTGAACATTACACAATTGTTAGAATATATCAGAAAAATGCTCATACATTTCTGTTTATGAAGACCCTGAAATTTTGCTGATTGCATTCATTGGTGCTTGCCGGGACCACCCTAAGAAGATGCTCAATGCATCAGTTTATGCTCATACATGGAATGAGATTTTGTATGCATAATTGTTGAACGGTTGTAAAAATCTTTTGAACTTCATTTTTGGAAATTAAGAGTGTAAAATCAAGATACTGACAGAGTGAGTTTCATCATTTTCTTTGCGGTAAGACAAGATATTTGCTAAAATCGGACAGAGACAATACCAGAGAAAGTCATATCTAAAAGCTTTGTAAAACAGAGTTTTTGATAAAAATTATCATCATTTTCAAGTCTCTTACAAATGGTTTGAGTCTCAACTCTCAAGGATTGAGCTCCCTTTGGAGTCCTGAA